TGAGATAGAGTCTTACTCTGTCACCAGGCTGGAGTGCAGTGGTGCAATCTCAGCTCACTGCAACCTCGATCTCCCGGGTTCAAGCGATTCCCCTGCCTCAACCTCCTGAGTGGCTGGGACTACATGCGCACACCACCACTGCTGGATAATTTTTTGTATTTTAGTAGAGACAGGATTTCACCATGGCCAGGATGGTCTCGATCTCCTGACCTCATCGTATGTCCACCTCAGCCACCCAAAGTGCTGGGATTACAGCCGTGATCCACTGTGCCCAGCATTTTTTTTTTTCTTTCTTTCTTTTTTTTTTAAGATGGAATCTCCCTCTGTCACTCAGGCTGGAGTGCAGTGGCACGATCTCGGCTCACTGCAACCTCCACCTCCCACATTCAAGTGATTCTCATGCCTCAGCCACCCGAGTAGCTGGGATTGTAGGCATGAGCCAGCGTGCCTGACTCAGGTCACACTTTTTCACATGCTACATCCTCCATCCACCTGCTGTTCTATCTAGAATGCCCTGGCAAACTCCTATGCATCCTTATGGCTTAGCTAAAAAGCCACCTCCTCTGGAAGGCTTCCTTGACTCCCTTGTTCTGAGTCAGTCTCTGCAGCACTGCTCAGGCCTCTGACACTTGTCACATTCTATAGTTGTCATTAGCTTACATCTGTCCCCTCTAACCCCCAGGACCCTGAATGGACGGTCCACAAATATTTGTTGAATAAATGTCACTCATGTTCAGAAAACTAGAGTGCTGTTTCTAAAATGTGAATCTGAGCATTGCTTCCTTTTTTGGGGGAGTGGGGATGGTGTCTGGCTCTGTCACCCAGGCTGGAGGGCAGTGGTGAGGTATCGGCTCACTGTAGCCTCCGCTTCCCTGGTTCAAGCAATTCTCCTGCCTCAGCCTCCCAAGCAGCTGGGATTACAGGCACTTGCCACCACGCCAGGCTAATTTTTGTATTTTTAGTAGAGATGGGATTTCACCATGTTGGTCAGGCTGACCTCGAACTCCTGACCTCAGGTGATCTGCCCACCTCAGCCTCCCAGAGTGCTGGGATTACAGGCAGCCGCTGTGCCCAGACTAGGCACACTAACATTCTTTGAATGGCCCAAATCAATGTTCTCTCTTGTTTTGGGGCTTTATTCATGTTTCTTCCTTTGCCTGGAATGTTCTCCTGCTCCTCTTTGCCTGGCTAGCTCCTAGGCATCCTTCAGATAGCTAAAATATCCCTCAGGAAGCCTTCCTGGACCCCTCTCCACTTCTAGGTGAAAGGGGGACTAGGCTGAGGACCCCATCTATGCACCCCCCAGCACCCTGTGCTCACCCAGCTACAACATGGCTGTCACGGCAAGGCGGTTGCTGGTTTGTCTTCCTTCCCTGCTACAGTGCAGTGCACTCTGTGCCTATCCCGCCCGCTGGCATAGCCCCAGCCTCAAGCACAGTACTTGGAAGGGAAGAGGAAGAGGTATCTGATAAATGTGTGTTAAATGTGGGTTAGAGGAATGGGTTTCTCCATTTAAAATCTGGATTTCAATACCTTTCCATTGCCTTTGGAATAAAGCCTTACCACAGCTTTTACAGCACTTTTTGATGTGGTCTCCATGTATTTTCAGTCTCATCTCTTAAAAATACACCCTTTGGCTCTTTCCCTGCCGACGCATAGTCGTGTGGGGGCGGAACCTTGGGTGCTTTCAAGATTCGGCTTCAACTGTAATCCATCTACCATGGCCGAGGAAGGCATTGCTGCTGGAGGTGTAATGGACGTTAATACTGCTCTACGAGAGGTGCTGAAGACCGCAATGGCCTAGCACATGGAATTCGCGAAGCTGCCAAAGCCTTAGACAGGCGCCAAGCCCATCTTGTGTGCCTGCATCCAACTGTGATGAGCGTACGTGTGCCAAGTTGGTGGAGGCCCTTTGTGCCGAGCACCAAATCAACCTAATTAAGGTTGATGATAACAAGGAATTAGGGGAATGGGTAGGTCTCTGTAAAAGTGACAGAGAGGGGAAGTCCCGTAAAGTGGTTGGTTGCAGTTGTGCAGTAGTTAAGGACTGTGGCAAGGCGTCTCAGGCCAAGGACATGATTGAAGAGTCCTTCAAATGTAAGAAATGAAGAAATCAATCTTTGGCTCACACACAAAAAAACACATCCTTTGATTTCAGTGTCCCACTCAAACATGACAGCCACAGTGAACTGAATGAAGGCCCCTAAATGCCTGCTTTCCCTTCTCTCAGCCTCAGCAGTGAAACCACCATTGCAAACTTAACAGACAGTGAAAGAGATCTGACCTAACCAACTCCATCTTGCTTCTAACCTAAGCTGTCCTTGTTCATTCCTGGGCACAGGCTAACTAACTTTGGGAGAAAATTTATAGTTTAAAACAAAGACGCTAACAACCCTTTCCCAAAACAAACCTCCTCCTTGCCAGGGGACTACACTGCCTCTGTAGGACAAGAAATTAGCCAGGAGATTAGAAATTATGGAGTCATGCAGCAGGAGGCTACCAGGTTCTGACCCTCCCTAAACTACTCCTAAGAACAGTGCTTGAGACATTTTGCAGACCCTGCACTTGATGAATCAGCTGGCACCACCCAGGTGGATAAACTGGCACATCTGATCTTGTGGCCCTCACCTAGGAACTGACTCAGCCCAAGAAGACAGCTTCGACTCCCTATGATGTCACCTCTGACCCGACCAATCAGCCCTTCTGGCTTACCGGCTTCCCCCCATCTACCAAGTTGTCCTTAAAACTCTGCTCCCGAGTTCCCTGGACACCATGAACCACACTGTCCAAACCTTCTTCACTCCCGCCAGCACCCACCATCCCCCGAACTATGAGATGCTGAAGGAGGAACATGAGGTGGCTGCGCTGGGGGCGCCCCACAACCCTGCACCCCCGACATCCACCGTGATCCACATCCGAAGCGAGACCTCCGTGCCTGACCACGTCGTCTGGTCCCTGTTCAACACCCTCTTCATGAACCCCTGCTGCCTGGGCTTCATAGCGTTTGCCTACTCCGTGAAGGGACAGGAAGATGGTTGGCGACCTGACCGGGGCCCAGGCCTATGCCTCCACTGCCAAGTGCCTGAACATCTGGGCCCTGATTTTGGGCATCATCATGACCATTCTGCTGATCATCATCCCAAAACTGATTCTGCAAGTCTATCAGTAGATCCAGAGGAATCACCCGGGCCAGGGGCTCTGCCCGTGACCTGTCTCCCATGTACTTCAGCTTCCATTCCTCGCCCTGCCCCCAGCCCATCCTGTATCAGCCCTTTACCCTCACACACTTTTCTACAGTCGAGTTCAATAAAGTGCAAGTGCTCCTGAAAAAAAAAAAACAAACAACTCTGCTCCCCGAAATGCCTGGGGAGACTCATTTGAGTAATAACAAACCTCTGCTCTTCTGCACAGCCAGCTCTGCGTGAATTTCTCTATTGCAATTCCCCAGTCTTAATAAATCGGCTCTGTCTAGGCAACGGGCAAAATGAACTCATCTGGCAGTTGTAGCAGTACTCTCCCGCCCAACACACTCACCTCTCACTCCGCTTTTCTGCCTAACATCCAGTAATCTGTAAGTTCAGTGGCCCTTCCTCCAGGACGCCTACCTTGACTTCTTAAGGCCAGCTCCGGTGCTCTTTAGTGGTGCCCCTCTGGGCTTCCTTCTGACCTTCTATATGTTTTCCCTAGCGGATGGTGAGACAAGAGACTGAACTGTTCTCACCGTGATGTCTCTAAGTGCTGGGAATAGTGCTGACCACCTGGCTAGTTTCCATGTGTATATATATACATGGAATATATATATATGTACATGGAAACCAGACAGATGGTCAGCACCGGCTCTATATACATATATATAAATATATATGTATATTTTTAAAGTGACCCAGTTGAAGTTGCCACCTAATATAAGATGCAGAAATAAATCCTAAACTGGCAACACAGGACACGGACCCCTACAGCTGTCTGCAGAGGCAACAGCAAATAAGACCCACCCTGCAAATTCCCAAGAACCAAGAGCAGAGAAATGCGAAGAAATTTTGAGACAGAAGATTGAGAGGCAGCATTTTAATACAACAAATAATACGGATAGGCCAGAGACTTGCTACTCAAAGTGTGATTGTGGCTTGATAGCATCAGCATCTCCCTGGAACTGGTTAGAAATGCAGAATCCCAGGCCCCACCCCCAACCTACTGCATTCGAACAAGATCCCAAGTGATCTGTATGCACATAAATGTTCGCAAAGCGCTGGGCTAGAACATTTATTAATGTAGGATGTTGCTCTTACAATGTATTTTGAGGTCAAAATAAATCCATTTAAAGCATTTTTTGCTCCTTATTTGCTCCATTCCCTCCACCTCTGAGTTGCATCAACACATGTCGTGTTGTTCTGGGGCTTTGAGCCTCTCTTATGAATCACAATGGCATAAGGAAGTTTGCTGTACCATTTCTGTAGACGGCCTTAATGGGTTACAAATTGGATTTCAAAACTTCCATCAGCTGCTCCTTGTGTAGCACCGCTCCCCCAAGGAGGTAGGTTGTATGATAATTTCTGTTTTTAGAGATGATGAAACTGGGGCCCATGGAGGTTTTATAAGTCACCACAGGGGCACCCAGCAAATCGGCATCCCAGCCAAAATGAGAGTGTAAGCTTTTGAATTTCCGATGTAAAGCTCATCAAACTTTGACATCACTTCTTTTTTTTTTTTTGAAATGGAGTTTTGCTCTCGTTCCCCAGGCTGGAGTGCAATAGCATAATCTTGGCTCACCACAACCTCCACCTCCTGGGTTCGAGCGATTTTCCGGCCTCAGCCTCCAGAGTAGCTGGGATTACAGGTGAGCGCCACTACGTCTGGCTAATTTTTGTATTTTTAGTAGAGATGAGGTTTCACCATGTTGGCCAGGCTGGTCTCAAACTCCTGACCTCAGGTGATCCACCCAGCTCAGCCTCCCAAAGTTTTGGGAATACAGGTGTGAGCCACCGCACCCGGCCTGACATTACTTCTTTTTATATAAGAGAGATTTTTTTTTTTTTTTCATAAGAGATTTTAAGAAAGAGCACATTCAGACGACCTGATGTGAGCTACTGACCATATAAACCTCGCATGTGCCGGCCCCAGGGAATGTGGAAGCTTCGGAAAGAATTGCCCTTCCCCGCCTGGCTCCCTTGCTCCTGATGCATCCGAGGCTGGAAGGCTCTGCAGCCAGAAGTCCCAGAAAACCTTAGAACAGATGAGTGCTTCTAGGGGATATGAGGGGAAAGCACCGGGAAGTACCGTAAGGGAATGGATACGGCTATGCAGGAAATGTGGCGGCTTCTCGATGACCATAACCCATCCTCAGGAGGAAGCTTTCTTTTGTTTCTTTCACAGACTCAGATTAGCTGATGGAATCCGACTCTGCCCAAACACATGTGGCGTGTGTCACTGGATTCAATTTCTTTATTTTATTACATAGCAACCTACTAGATAATAAATTACTTAGTTAATTCCAATTTCCCTAGAGCAAATTGGAATCACTAGATGACTCAGAAATAGTTAAGACTGTATATTTGGCATGGAAGCCAATGTGCTTCTTCCTACCTTGTCTGAATTTAAGATTTCTCTGTCAACCCCATCGAAACAAAGCTCCCAAATGGGGCTTGTTCAGTTTCAACAGTCTGCATAGTGATTCTCCTGGGGTCCTCTTCAGAATGCTTACCAGGAGGTTGGCTTAAATCCCCTCCCATCTCTAGACATGCATATCAATGGGACATATTTGTATACTCTTGCTTAAAAACAAAAAGATAGTGCACTTTGAAATTCCATGTAAAAAGTATTGCTTTTCTAATGTGCTACTGTGCTCCTGCCTGCCTGCTTGCTACACAATGCTACAGAGGGTAGAGTCAGGAGGAATTCAAGGCTGAAGATGTTTTGGATGCTTGGATGACACCGATGTACCCCTCAGCTTTGCACTTTGAACCCTATTCTGAAGCCGTGTAGTTTTGGGGCTTGGCCTAAGGCAAAAACTACAAAGCATCCTAATGAGCAGAATTATACAACAGGAGTGTATGTGCATATTTCACATAGTTTCTTCTCTTGAGGGGTGGCTCTCTGGCCTGTGACCTCTGCCTTCTCCAAAGGCGAGGGAGGAGTCCAGAGAAGAAGGCTTTTGTTCCTGGCTGCCAGTTCCTCTGCAGCCCCTACAGCCCCAGGGATCTGCCCTGCTCCGCGTGGGCTCTCAGAAGCCCAGCAATTTCCATATGGGTGGGTGACTTCAGAGCAATGGACAAAGCTGTGCGGCCAGCCTACAGGAGAAAAGGAAAGGAGAAATAAATATCATCCAATCTGCCTCCTACCCAGGGGGGAAGGGCAAGTTGGGAGTAGGGGGTATGCCTGGGATATAGGTGTCTATTCCAGGCTTCCAGAGACACCGGTAGAGAAGATTCAAATGACATGAGGATCACCAGCAATGTGGCCCATTCTGCAGAAACAATAGTGACTCCTGGGATATCTGTGACAGTGGAAATAAAAAAGAGTAATCTGGTTTTTAATGCTCTTTTTTTTTGAGATGGAGTCTTATTCTATTGCCCAGGATGGAGTGCAGGGGCACAATCACAGCTTACTGCAACCTCCGCCTCCTGGGCTCAGGTGATCCTCCACCTTCAGCCTCCCAAGTAGCTGGGATTGCAGGCACACACCACTACGCCCGGCTGATTTTTGCATTTTTTGTAGAGATGGGGTGTCACCATGTTGCCCAGGCTGATCTCAAATTCCTGGGCTCAACTGATCCATCCACCTCGGCCTCCCAAAGTGATGGGATTACAGGTGTGAGCCACTGTGCCCAGCCCCACTTTTTTCCTGTTCAAATTGGCAAACAGGAAATAAAATAACTCTTGCTATTCCACTACATGCATCTAAGTGCAAGTTAGCATTTTGGGGTGTTTTCCTCCAATCTTTTCTCCTGTGCAAACTTGTTGGTTTATTTCTATCTGTTTGTTTTTAAATTTTTTGTAGAGACAGGGTCTCACTATGTTGCTTAGGCTGGTCTTGAACTCCTGGGTTCAAATGACCCTTCCACATTGGCCTTGCAAAGTTTTGGGATTACAGGCATGAATTCGTAATCCTGTCCTGTCCCTCACCTGTCCTGTTGTTGGTTTTTAAATAAAGGAGTGATGTTGTATATCAACTTTGAATTTGCTTTCATTCTTAATTTATCACGGTATGCTATACGATTTTTCTCTATTCTTACATGACCATTATAATGCATGATAATTCTTTTTGGCTATATAATACTACATAATTTACTACGTTTTAAACTAATTATGGAAATATTACTTTCAATGGAAATTTTTGTTGATTCTAAGTCTCTGCCATAATAGTCTTAGTGCAAAAGCATTTTCCCATTTTTTTTTTTTTTTGAGACAGAGTTTCGCTCTTGTTGCCCAGGCTGAAGAGCAATGGCATGATCTTGACTCACCACAATCTCCGCCTCTCGGGTTCAAGCAATTCTCCTGCTTCAGCCTCCTGAGTAGCGAGGATTACAAGCATGTGCCACCACGCCCAGCTAATTTTTTGTATTTTTAGTAGAGACAGGGTTTCTCCATGTTGGTCAGGCTGGTCTCAAACTCCTGACCTCAGGTTATCTGCCCACCTCGGCCTCCCAAAGTGCTAGGATTATAGGTGTGAGCCACCACGCCCTGCCTCCGCATTTTCCCATTTGTAATTATTTCCTGACTCTTAGAAGTGGGCTCAGAGCATTCAGGGGCATGCACATTTTTACTTCCTGCTCTGTGATGCCACAGCACTCTTTACACTGCCACGGCGATGCAGGAAGCTGGTAGTTCCACTGTCTAAAGAAGCTGCACCAAGGAGGCTCTCATCAGGCACCACCAGCCTGACTGAGCAGCCACAGTCTCTCATGAATGAGCTCACTCCCGCATCCAGAATTCAGAACTCTAAGCAGCTCCAAAAACCACACTCTTTAGGTAACTTTTTGGGAGCTGAGACCTGACCTGAGGCTGTTGGCCTACTGTGAAAATTTTGACGTTTTGCTGCTGTAAAGGGTTTGATGGGTAGGGGACACCCAAGGCCCCACTAGATTATTCTCTACTGCCTATGCATAGATTTACTTCCTAAAATGTGAACAGTTCTTTCACAGAAGCAGGTAGGAAGTGTTAACACCCAGCTTAACACTCTTCAGCCTTTTTCCCATGCACGGGGATGGAATCCAGGGACCACCAGGGCTCCCCACACGTGCAAATAACTATAAAGCATATGGCAAAGCACTAAACGAGTCAGAAGACAGGAACAGCCTGAGCTCAAGGGAGAGGACAGCCACTGTGTGCCAGGGTGGCTAGAAGATGGCTCAGGGGGAGGCAGAGGAAGGGAGTGGCATTGCAGTGGGACCCCGAAGATGGCACATGGGCTTCTCAAAACATACAAAGTTCTTTCCCCAAAAAGCCCTCATGACTCCCTGGACTTTTCTTTGACCACTTGTTACATGCTGGTATTTGTGGGGTTATTTGATACATTTCGGTCTCCACGAGGTCAGGAAGCTGATCTGGCCTGTCAACTGCTGCGTGCCGGCACTGGCCCAGGGCCTGGCGTTTGGCCAGCCCTCAGCAAGCACTGCTGAAAGAGAGATTCCCGCACGAGAACCTAATGATTTCATTTCAAGCTGATGGAATCTAAATCCTAGTGAATATGTTTGTACATTGGAAAGCACTGGAACAAAGCAAAGATTTTAAGCAGGGAGTCCTGTAAAAGCCTCCTAAAGGAGGGGCCTGGGTTTGCTTAGGCCCGAGTTCCTGCTCCTGAACTCCATCTGCTGTGCCTTGTCAATCCTGAGGCTCTATGTAAACACAGAGTCCGTGCTGACAGTGTTTGGGGGAAGAGCCGCAGGGCCAGTCCAGGGTCCGTCTGGAGGATAGCTTGCAGCTGCGGGCTCCTCGACTGCAGACATGAAGAACAGAGGAGGAACAGTTTAGGAGGTGTGGCCAGAGAGATCACTTCACGAGGGGGAGTGTTCCTCCGACGCCTCTGCCAGAACTCTGGGAATAAGTTCGTGCCATGTAGCTCCTGTGGGAGCCAGGTATGGCGAGCCCTGCTTGGTGACACTCCAGAGCTGGTCTAGGAGACCCCGACTGAAGAAATGGGGGACTAGCCGGGTATGGTATAAAATTTATGTGTAACTTCAGGGATTGAAAATCTGTACTTGGCCAGGCGCAGGGGCTCATGCCTGTAATCCCAGCGCTTTGGGAGGCTGAGGCGGGAAGATCACTTGAGCCCAGGAAGTCAAGGCTGCAATAAGCCTTGATTGTTCCACTGCATTCCAATCTGGGTGACAGGGCAAGACCCCATCTCAAAACAAACAAACAAAACAGGCAGGGTCTAGGCAGCTGGCACAACTGTGTGTGTGTGCATGTGTTGGAGGGGGCGTCTTTGAATATAATGAGAACTCATCATGAGCCCACTATGTATCACACAAAGGTGAGTAAGGCATAATCTCTGCATTTAAGAAGTTTTCAATCTGACTGATGCTTTAAAGAAGCTGCCAAAATAAAGGGTGGGCTCTGGGGCGCGGAAAAGGCTGGGTGGCGGATTTCCTCAAATTGCCTGTAAACCTAGTTAAGGGCCTGACCAACCGTTCTGGGAGTTCTGCATTTATATCAAACTTTAAATGTTGATGAAACAAACCAATTTCAGGATATGAATTCTCTCCCAGTTTTCCAAGGGCATTCCCAAATAAGCCCTTCTGTTAACATCGAAGCTTCCATAGGAAAGATGAATATGGAAATGATACGAAGGGTAAGATAAGGGCCAGACTTTCCCCCTACATGTGAAGCACCAGGTACAAGCCTTGGTACTTGGCACAGCCTTGTCAGAAGCTCCCTTTTCCACTGAAATGTCTCATCCTGGGGATGTAGACACTGTGCTCACCAAAGTCACCCTTGAGAATCTGCATGTGAATCAACCCTGACCTAGGTGGGCAGCATGCGGCCCAACCATGGGTGGGGTCTGGAACCCGCCTTACCTGTGGGCCCATTACCTGCATTACCTGGGCACCACTGTGCTGGCTGGGCTTTCCCTAACTCGCTCCAGCTTCTGCCATGATAGATGTCCTCCTCCATCTCCTGATTAGCACTCCAGGCCCTCCCTTCCAGGCTTACAGCCTGCCCCGAACTCCAGCCGGCCCAGTCCTCAGCCTGGCCTGGCTCTCCCTGATCCAGCACTTCACCGGGACTGGTTACCTAAACCCACCTGGATTTCAGTGCTTGCCTAAACCAGGCATTCTCAATGGCAGCACTATTGATATTTTGGACCAGAAAATTGTTTATTTTGTTTGTTTGTTTTTGAGATGGAGTCTCGCCCTTTCACCCAGGCTGGAGTGCAATGGCGTGATTTCGACTCACTGCAACATCCACCTCTCAGGTTCAAGTGATTCTCCTGTCTCAGCCTCCCGAGTAGCTGGGATTACAGGTGTGCGCCACCACGCCTGGCTCATTCTTGTGTTTTTAGTAGAGACGGGGTTTCAAAATGTTGCCAGGCTGGTCTTGAACTCCTGACCTTAAGTGATCTGTTCTCCTTGGCCTCCAAAAGTACTGGGATGACAGGCATGAGCCACTGCGCCCAGCTGGATAATTGTTAATTCTTTGCTGTTCCTGTGCATTGCAGGATGTCTAGCCGCATCCCTGGACTCTACCCACTAGATGTCAGGAGCATTCTCTCCCCAACTTGTGAATAAAAATGTCCCCAGACATTGCCAAATCTCCCCGGAGGGCAAAATCACCCCTGGCTGAGAACCACTGGACTGAACCAAGCCTGTCAGTAGCTTCTCCCTTTGGGGGCTGGTCTCCCTGTCTGATTGGCTCCCCTAATTCCAGATCTTTGTTCTCCCTACTCTCTCCAGACGCTGTCTGTAAATGCCAAGGTCCCTGCTGGGTGATGTGGTGTTTTTGTTTTAGCTATCACTGTTCATCTATTCATAATTAAAACAGTTACCATCCACTGTGAACTCCTAGATGTCAGAGACAGCCTTTATAAACATTATAGTATTTAGGTAGAGTCTACTGCTGTTCCCATTTTACAGACAAGCATCTAGAGGCCCAGAAGAGTTAGGTCACCTACCCAAAGTCACTGAACCTAGATTCGAATTCATGAGCATTTAACTTTTTTTTTTTTTTTTGAGACAGGGTCTCACTCTGTCACCCTGGTAGGAGTTCCCTCGCACAATCATGGCTCACTGTACCCTCAACTACCCAGGCTCAAGCAATATTCCTGCCTCAGCCTCCCGAGTAGCTGGGACTACAGGTGCATGCCACCACGCCTGGCTATTTTTTTTTTTTCTATTTTCTGTAGAGAGGGGGTGATATGGTTTGGCTGTGTCCCCACCCAAATCTCATCTTGAATTCCCATGTGTTGTGGGAGGGACCAGGTGGGAAATAATTGAATCATGGGGGCAGGTCTTTCCTGTGCTGTTCTTGTTATAGTGCGCAAGTCTCACAAGATCTGATGGCTATTAAAAGGGGGAGTTTCCCTGCACCAGCTCTCTCTTTGCCTGCTGCCATCCATGTAAGGCGTGACTTGCTTCTCCTTGCCTTCCACCATGATTGTGAGGCTTCCCCAGCCATGTGGAAGTCCAATTAAACCTCTTTCTTTTGTAAATTGCCCAGTCTTAGGGATGTAATGGACTAATACAGGGGTTCTCACTTTGTTGCCGAGACTGGTCTCAAACTTCTGGGCTCCAACAACCCTCCTGACTTGGCCTCCAAAAGTGTCACGATTACAGGCATGAGCCACTACATCTGGCCTCATGAGCATTTAAAGTCCATGCTTCCAACAATCATCCTTGAGTTGTCTGAAATGCAACAGATCCCACAGCTCTTCTACCACCAGAACGCTGCCACTTAGTGCTCTTATACCTGTGACAGATCTCCAGAGATACCCAGGAGAGCTTTCAGATCCACTGCCTGATTATCTCAGCTAACCAGGGACTTCCAAAGCTCATGCCTGTCTGCCTGACCCATGGGCCTCCCCTCTCAGGCCTCTTCGGGCATCAGCAGTGGTCATTCATTAGAGGGCCAGGGGCCTTTGATGTACAGGCCTGTTCCGGATTAAGAGCTGCCTCCTTCTCTCCCAGGACAACCCAGCAGAGAGCTCATTAACACAAATCTTTTGTCTGGCCACATCATGTTTGGAAAAGTAGGCTCTGGTTTCCAGTAGCCCATCCCTGTTCCCATATAAAGGCCAAGGTCTGTGCTCTCTAAAGATCTCAGAAATGGCTTTGGAGTGAAGCTGGGGTTCACAGGACCTAGAGTCACTGGATGGGTGCCTGCTGTTTGGATGTGACTGAAGGACTCAGCAGCTTGAATTGCTGATGAGTCAATCTCTGGGGAGTTAAAATGTGGCCGGGTAAGAGGTACTGTCCCTGGGCAGGGAGAGGACTGTCGTCCCCTCTCCAGGCTTTTTTCTCTTTGAATTGTGGCTGTTAAGAAAGCATCAAGACATCTGTTTAAATCATTAAATTACAGCACCAACATTAAGGATACTAGAGTCAGACCTGGGCTTGAATCTCTGCTCTAAGAATCAGTAGCTTGTAAATCTTAGGACAATTACATAACATCTTCAGGCCTGTTTTCAGTAAAAAGTGGGGATCACTATCTCACTGGATTACTGAGAGGATTAGAGGTAACACATGGGAAAGGGTTAGTTCCCAGGAGCACTCTAGAAATATTATTGTATCTACTGTAATTATCAGAAACAAGATCACTTACTATTGCTTACTTCCAAAGTTTATGGGTTTCATGCACTCATTTGTTGATTGATTCAATGATATATGGCAGGCACTCTACTAGGTGTTGGGGATTCAGCAGGGAGCCAGAGACATGGATGCTTCAATGTGACAACAGTCATGATGATGGAACAGTTAAGGGTATGGGCCCAGGCGTTTCAATGGAGCTGGGTTCCACTCTCTGAGAAGTCTTTTGTGTATGTAACCTAACCATCTGATACTTCTGTCTCCTTGAGCAAAGTGGAGCAGCAGGAAGACAGTCAACCTTACAAGGTTGTTGTGGGGTTTAAATGAGATGGTCCCTGGCAAATGCTTAGTACACTACCTGACACAGAATAAGCCCTCCATACGTGTTAGTTAGTTACTATTGTTTTGTTTTTGAGATGGAGTTTCACTCTTGTTGCCCAGGCATGAGTGCAATGGCGTGATCTTGGCTTACTACAACCTCCGCCTCCTAGGTTCAAGCGATTATCCTGCCTCAGTCTCTCAAGTAGCTGGGATTACAAGCATGTACCACCATGCCCAGCAAATTTTGTATTGTTAGTAGAGATGGGGTTTCTCCATGTTGGTCAGGCTGATCTCGAACTCCTGACCTCAGGTGATCCATATGCCTCAGCCTCCCAAAGTGCTGGGATTACAGGCATGAGCCACCACGCCCGGACAGTTACTATTGTTACTGATTAGTTACTATTGTCATCAGCATCGTGGCCATCATCTTTTGAAGAAGTTTATTGAAGAAGCCTGTGACTGACAGTGTAACTTCAAGTAGGCTGACTTGATGGAATGGGCTGCTTCATTAAGTGTGTCAACGTCCAAAGAGGCACTTTCAGTTAAATGACTAGAGATGACTCTGTAAGGTTGATCCTTCTGAAGGCTTTTGAGTCCCTACTGGACAGCAGAGCTTCCCCATCTAAGCTACTGCCTCAAAAGCCCACATGCTATTATTGCCATGACCAGATGAGGATCTGGGCCAAGCCAAGCCAGGGCACATTAGCCGAGAATGGTGTTATGAAAGGCTAGGGTTGTGGGCTTCACAGTTCTAGGACTCCAAACATTCACCATGAATCATCTCATTTATTAATTTTTTAATTTTTTACAGACAGGGTCTCACTCTGTCACCCAGGCTGGAGTGTAGTGGTCTGATCATGGCTCACTGCAGCCTCCACCTTCTGGGCTCAAGCAACCCTCCTGCCTCAGCCTCTCCAGTAGGCAGGGATTACAGGCATGCACTACCATGCCTGGTTAATTTTTTTTAAGAGACAGGGTCTCACCGTGTTGCCCAGGCTGGCCTTGAGCTCTTGGCCAAGCAATCCTCCCACCTCAGCCTCCAAAAAAGTGCTGGGATTATAGATGTGAGCCTCTTATTTAAATTCCACAACAGCCTTAGGAGGCTGATTTTGTTGTACTGCCATAGGGTTCCTTGAATTCTGCTGGCTTGCAAGACACTCTTCAGGAGGGTAAATTTAATAGCTACTTTTTTTTTTTTTAAAGAGGTGGGGTCTCCCTGTGTTGTCCAGGCTGGTCTCAAACTCCTGGGCTCAAAGTGATCCTCCTGCCTCAGCCTCCCAAAGTGCTGGGATTACAGGCATGAGCTACCCTGCCCAACAATAGCTACTTGTTAATTGTATGTAAGTCTCACCTTGTCAGTCAGGCTGCTGTCGCAGGCTGGGTGTGCCAGGAGCAGCCGCACCAGGTCTACGTTGCCATGGTGACAGGCCAGCATGAGGGCCGAGGATCCATCGTGGTCCTGCAGGTTGACATCTGCCTGGCAGCTAAGCAGCGCTTGAACCATGTCCTCCCTGTCGTGGCTGACTCCCAGCATCAGCGCAGTCTGGCCTCCCTGCATGCAGAGCCACAGGAGCGTGGTGAGGTGCTGCCAATGGGGAAGGACCCCCTCTCCAGCCTGAGTGTGCTCATCAGAGACTTCTCAAGAACACAGCCACTGATCTGAATCTCCTGCCCTTGGTATGGGACATAACCTTCTCTGCTTGGCAAAATTTTACTCTTTCATGACTAGTCAGATCCCACATCCTCTCTAAAGCCTTCTCTAACTCCCCAGGCACAGGATTCATAACACAGCACTCACCACTTAGCATTGCAACTTGTCAACTTCTCTTTCTCATGGATTGTGACATTGTTGATGGCAGCGACTAAGTGTTTTTGTCCCTGTCTCCCCAGTGCCTAGCACCAAGAATGTGCTGATAAATGTTGAATGATGGAACACATGAAGGTTGAACACAAGCATCATGGCTTCTTACTGCCTGCCCCAGACTGACTGTCTCCAAGAAGGCTTTGTCTGCTCAATGCCTCTGAAATTTTCAGTTTAAGGATATCCAGAACGCTCTTCCCTCAACACAGTCTCTGGTTGCAGGTCCTGTGGTCATTTCTAATCTATAGACACTGACAGTAATCTAGGGCATTTCTGTTATCACTGGTGGACGCAGCAATGAGCTGGAATCAGAAAGCAAGTCCAAACTCTAGTTGTGCTGTTTCCTCATGCATGATTCAGGCCATGTCACTGTCTTCCTTGATTCTTGGTTTTTCTTCTCTTTCTCTTTTAAAGATGGGGTCTTGCTGTGTTACCCAGGCTGGAGTGCAGTGGCACAATCACAGCTCATTGCAGTATCAATCTTCCAGGATCAAGTGATTCTTCCACCTTAGCCTCCCAAGTAGCTGAGCTCACAGGCATGTGTCACTCACTACACCTGGCTAGTTTTTTACTTTTTGTAGAAATGGGGTCTCACTATGTTGCCCAGGCTGGTCTTGAACTCCTGAGCTCCAGTAATCCTCCTGCTTTGGTCTCCCAAAGTGCTGATATTACAGGTGTGAGCCATTGTACCAGCTGGTTTTTCTTCTCTTAAAAATTAATATGACAATTGAGGCCAGGTGCAGTGGCTCACGCCTGTAATCCCTGCACTTTGGGAGGGCAAAGCAAGTAGATCACTTGAGGTCAGGAGTTTGAGACCAGCCTGGCCAACATGGTGAAACCCCATCTCTACTAAAGAAAAAATATAAAAATTAGCTGGGCATGGTGGTGGGCAACTGCTACTCGGGAGGGTGAATCAGGATAATTGCTTGAACCTGGGAGGCAGAGGTTGCAGCGAGCTGAGATTGTGCCACTGCACTCTAGCCTGGGTGACAGAGCAAGATCTGTCTCAAAAAAAAATTTTTTTTTTTTACTAGAGATGAGGTTTCTCCATGTTGGCGAGGCTGGTCTCAAACTCCTGACCTCAGGTGATCCGCCTACTTCGGCCTCCCAAAGTGCTGGGATTAAAGGCATGAGCCACCGCATCTGCCAATTTTTTTTTTTTAATAATATAACAATGATTTATCCTGTGTATCTCACAGAGCTTTTGTGGGAATCAAGTGAGATAAAGGATTTAAATATAATAATGTACAGTAGTAATTTTTCTGATTACAAATTAACCATCATTTCCCATTTTTCACAGATTTTATTATATATACTATATGTGTGTGTGTATGTGTATAATTTTTTTTTTGAGACAGAATCTTGCTCTATCACCCAGGCTGGAGTGGAGTGGCACAATTGCGACTCACTACAACCTCTGCCCACCATGCTCAAGTGATCCTGTTACTTCAGCCTCCTGAGTAGCTGTGACCATAGGCGTGTGCCACTACATCTGGCCAATTTTTGTATTTTTTGTAGAGACGGGGTTTTGCCATGTTGCCCAGGCTGATCCTGAACTCATGGGCTCAAGTACGCCACCCACCGTGGCCTCCTGAAGTGCTAAGATTGCAGGCATGAGTCACCAGGCCTGACCCTGTGTATATTTCTTTCTTTCCTTTTTTTTTTTGAGATGGAATTTCACTCTGTCACCCAGGCTGGAGTGCAGTGGTGTGATTTCAGCTCATTGCAACCTCCGCCTCCTGGGTTCAAGCGATTCTTCTGCCCCTCAGCCTCCTGAGTAGCTGGGAATACAGGCGTGCACCACCACACCTGGCTATTTTTTGTATTTTTAGTAGAGATGGGGTTTTCCCATGTTGCCCAGGCTGGTCTTGAACTCCTGAGCTCAAGTAATATACCTGCCTCGGCCTTCCAAATTATAGGCATGAGCCACTTCACCCAGCCCCTATGTATATTTCTTTCTTCCTTTTTTTTTTTTTGGACAGGGTCTTACTCTGTTGTCCAGGCTGGAATACAGTGGTGCCATCTTGGCTCACTGCAACCTCCACCTCCTGGACTCAAGCAATCCTCCTACCTCAGCCTCCTGGGTAGCTGGGAATATAGGCATCCATCACTCTGCCCAGCTAATTTTTGTATTTTTTAGTAGAGACAGGGTTTCACCATGTTGGCTAGGCTGGTCTTGAACCCCTGACCTCAAGCGATCTGCCCAACTCGGCCTCCTGAAGTGCTGAGATTACAGGCATGAGCCTCTGCTCCCGGCCCTATGCATATTTCTATAGTCCTCTCATCCAGCTGTATTATATTTTACCCTCATGGTTTTCATGGGTTCCAGGCTGGTCTCTGATGGAACCCAGAAATCTCTTCGTAAGACTGAAAAATAAGGCAAGAACTATGTTCTGTCTCCTTTTGAATCCCCTGAGGCCCCAAAAGCACTATCTTACATGTAAAAAGTGTTGAGGACACATCTGCTGATGTGTTGACTGATTAGAACTCCAATCTGCAGTCACTGGTGGATTATGCTTCCCTGCTCAGACGCTGGAGATTAGAGAACAAGAAGTGGGTTTGGAATCAGAAAAATCTTGACTCTGCCACTTATTACCTGTGTGACCGCAGGCAAGTTAAGCTCTCCATGACTTTTCCCGATTTGGTAAAGTGGGAACAATTAGTGGTATTACCTGTCCGATGGGGTTGTGGTGAGACCACGTGCTTAGCATGTGCTAGCCAAGGGTTAGCTATGATTGTCGTTAAGAGGCTTAGAGAGTGTCTGGCAAATGGCTCAGCATGTAGTAGGTGCTTAGCACGTGGGAATGTGTTATTAGATGTGTTGTTTCCCCATTACCCTGGAACACAGGCAGATCTTTCCAGAGAAGCCTATTTGCTTTTTTGGTTTGCATTTACTCAGCCCTGAAGTAATGGTTGTTTACTGGACTATCCAGACCACAAGGTTTCCAGAACCCTCTTTCCAACTGTCCTTAAAGCCAGATGACATATGCTGATGGTCCTCATATCTGCCTCTGCCTGACACATCCTCATCATCCTCCCAGTCCCATTCAATATAATTTAATTCAATGAGCATTTATAGGGTGCTACTATACGCCACCGCCCTGACCCTGGGGTCCAGAGAGAAGCAGCTTGTTCCTAGGAAACTCCCAATGTATTCCCATTTAACCTGGTACCTCCACCTTTCTTCACAGTTAAGGCCCAGGGGGAGCTAAAGGGAATGGCTGCAGCTATGCTCCTTTGGTGACCCGGGATGAGTCCAAGGATGAGGGCAAGGGTGCCCTCCTACAGCATCAGTTTCTTCTCTGTACAAAGAAGAGGGTGATTTTGATCCTCTTGCAAGCATCCCCTCTTACAAAAGTGCCAATTTAGAAAATAATTAACATATTTATGGGAAACATGAGTTAAATGAACCATTAGCTATATTGAGTCTTATGGAACAGGAGTTGCAGGTGAGTAGAATACCTTGAAAACCAGAAAGTAATCTACAAATATTTAGTTTCCAGCCGTCACTAGGATGGCTATTGGATGAAGTACATAACGTGACTTTGCCATCAGGTTAGGCTACTATCTGCAATCACTCTGGGGGAGTGTGGGACAGTGGAGCTTAATATATTGCTAGCAGTCCATTTTCCCTGAGTCTCTCTCTTTTCCACATACCTTGTGAGTAAAGCACACCACAATCTGTCCTTTTGTTTAGATTATCTTTTTAAGGATGTTTATATAGTGAACAGTCTTGGAAGCTAGAGAGAGTGTCTTCTTGGGAGAAAAGGGCAGGCGGGCTTACTGTCCATTATCAAAGCTTCAGGTTCGCTATGCTCAGGGTCCTCTCCTGCAACACAGCCCACTCCGTGCTCAGCTTCCTGGCCCTCCTCACACTGCCCTGTGGGTACCGGGATTTGGGCAATGCTGGTACTGTGGCTACTGCTTCGGCTGAGGGTAATACATGATCCTTTGTCTCAGGCACAGAAGTCTCATGCGTCTGCCAGCATCCACAAAATTGCTACAGGCTACCTTGTTAGGTTTAACATGGGGTAAACCTAACAAGGTTGAGAACGTCACAGTTCTCAACAGTTACCTAATCATAACTCCAGGGGAAAGAAGAGTTAAACACACTCCATTCATTCCTGCATGGTCAAAAAATGGGCAAATGACATTTTGAGGAGTTCCCGTTGTTCCATATGGAGCCTCGTCTAACTGAAAGACTTTCTGGGTAAGGACCACGCCCCCACCCTGTGTTCTCAAGCAGAGGGTCCCGGAAAATGAACAGAGACATTCCAACCCTCTGCACTGCCTTATATACCTTTGCTGTCTTAAGATCCTTTTTGGAGCGAACCCCAATCAACTTCTACTTATTCACTCCATGAAAGATTCAGAGGCTGGGGTGGTAGCTCATGACTGTAATCTCAGCACTTTGGGAGGCCGAGGCAGGTGGATCACCTGAGGTCAGGAGTTCAAGACCAGTCTGGCCAACATGGTGAAATCCCGTCTCTACAAAAGTACAAAAATGGCTAGGCACAGTGGCTCACACCTACAATCCCAGCTCTTTGTGAGGCCAAGGTGGGTGGATCATGAGGTTAGAAGTTCAAGACCAGCCTGGTCAAGATGGTGAAACCCTGTCTCCCTAAAAATACAAAAATTAGCTAGGCATGGTGGTGGGTGCCTGTAATCCCAGCTACTAGGGAGGCTGAGACAGAGAATTGCTTGAACCCAGGAGGTGGAGGTTGCAGTGAGCCAAGTTTGCGCTATTGCATTCCAGCCTGAGTGACAGAGCAAGTCTCCGTGTCAAAAAAAAAAAAAAAAGTACAAGAATTAGCCAAGCATGATGGGGGGATGCCTGTAGTCCCAGCTACTCTGGACGCTGAGGTGGAAGAATTGCTTGAACCTGGGAGCCAGAGGTTGCAGTGAGCCAAGATTGCGCCATTGCACTCCAGCCTGGGCAACAGAGTGAGACTCCCTCTCAAAAAAAAAAAAAAAAAAAAAACACACACACACACACACACACACACAAAAGTGAAAGATTCAGAGCACTCAGTCTTGGTTCAGTTTAGAAAGTTATCAGAGCTATCTAGAGCCACAAACAAAATGAGCTACTTGGTACAGCATGAGTTTCCTGACACTGGAGGTCCTAGAGTTGCAAACCTTCTGGTAGGATTTTGTAAAATCATAAGGGGTAGACGTAGGTGACCTTTAAGAGCTCTTCTGACCTAAGGCACAGGTGACCCAGTGAATTAGTGGAGCCCACATGTCCTGAATCCCTGGCTACTACCTTTGTGTAAGGCCCCACTGGTTCTTCACAACAACTGTTTTTCCCAGCCTGGCCCATGGCACTGCTCCTGCGGACTGGGGCATCAATTGTGTGTCTGGAAAGTATTACTCACGATTGTTGGTGCAGAGGTAAGGAAGATAGGAGTGTTTTCAGATCTGGTGATTTCAAGAGCTGAGGCAGCATACCAGGTTGATTGATAATGACCTGCAGAACTCTGTAATAACCCTCTGAGCTAAGCTGAGGCCTGGAAAGTAGGAATCCTCTTACCCCTAGGAATGCTGCTGTCTGCCCTGGCTATCCATACTTCCTCTCAGTCTGAGGACTTATGACCTTGTTGAAAGGCTTTGGGGTGATAGAGGTGAGAACTTCTTTAAAGGACTGGACCTCCAAAGACCCTAGTTAGTTGTCTATGGGTCGTGATCAAGGTGGCTCACCTATGAGGTCTCTATTAGAGTAGCCAACTAGCAAATGCCTTCTCAAGATGGTAACTGGGAATGTTGGTTCTAGAGGTTGCATCTGGATGGAATTTGCTCAGTTTCAGACTGGGACCTATAGTAGAAGTTCATCGACCTCTGTCCAAGGCTGGCTGGGTCTCAGGAGCCTATAAGGAAAACTGAACCAGGCTTTGCATGGATGCCATTTGGAGGTCCCAGCCTCCTTGGGTTAAAAGCTACATGGATCTGCATGGAATTTCTCACCCATTAGCAGAATAAAGCTGGGAGGTGCCCCCGCATTTACTGAAGAGGAGATCATGTTCATTCCACCCACCTGAGTAGCTTGAATGTTCACATTTCCTTCTCTTAAGAGCTTCCAGACCACAGCCATGTCTTCACTGGTCTCCGCGGAAGCCAAGGGAGTGATCATTACGGCAGTGTAGCCAGCTTTGTTCTGATGGTCCACGTTGCAGACGCCTGCAGGGAAGCAATGGGTGCTGGAATGGCTCCTGAGGAGCCAGGAGCCAGATTCCACTTTAGCCATTTCAATGGGACACTGCTTGTGGGTTAGAAGGCCACAGAATAGAGCAATGCTTTCCACAGGTGGAGCCCGTGGTTTACATTTGTAGCAGTCTTTAAAGCTGGTTACTTTTCTTGACAAGTTTTCTGAGGCTACCCAGCAAGGGAGTCCAAAACAAAGCCAGAGATGGCCAAAGGGCCAGTGGCCATGACTTCGTTTCCCAAACTGGAGCACAGGATGTTATTCCCATTTTATAGATGAGGACACTGAGGGCCAGAGAAGTTACATAATCCACTCATGAGAAGTGGGCGGGAAACACTCAGGTCTATCCGGCTCCGGAGCTCATCCCTCACCTGCCCCCATGTCTGGAATGCCACCCACGGCTGTGCGTTTTAGGTTTCACACTCACTAGCTCATGTTTGTGTGTAACTCTTAAACCAATGGCTGTGTTTGTAGGTCCTTTCTGAGGACCTAGGGGTCTACTGTGCCACGTACCAGAAGCATGAACAACACCGTGGGATAAACATGGGAAATCTTCTAGGAACAACCATCTCACTTGAAAAATGGAGGGAGAAAAAAATTCCACAATTTTTATATTAAAACAATTAAGAATTATACTTCACAATACAATGAAAACCTGACATTATTTGTTTACCTATTTATTTTCCTTGAGACAAGGTCTCACTCTGTCGCCTAGGCTGGAGTGCAGTGGTTCAGTCTCAGCTCCCACTGCAACCTCTGCCTCCCAGGTCCAAGTGATCCTCCCACCTCAGCATCTCAAGTAGCCTGTAGGTGCCCGCCACCATGCCTGGCTAATTTTTGTATTTTTAGTAGAGACAGGGTTTCACTGTGTTGGCCAGTCTGGTCTTGAACTCCTGACCTCAAGTGATCTACCTGCCTCAGCCTCCCAAAGTGCTGGAATTACAGGCATAAGTCTCTGGACCCAGCCAACAACCTGGTGGTGGTGGTGGTTGTTGCTGTTGTTGTTTTGAGACAGTCTCGCTCTGTTGCCCAGGCTGGAGTGCAATGGCTCGATCTCTGCTCACTGCAACCTCCGCCTCCCGGGTTCAAGCGATTCTCCTGCCTCAGCTTCCTGAATAGCTGGGACTACAGGCATGCACCACCATGCCCAGCTAATTTTTTTTTTAATGTATTTTTAGTAGAGATGGGGGTCTCACCACGTTGGCCAGGCTGGTCTCGAACTCCTGACCTCAAGCAATCTGCCTGCCTGGGCCTCTCAAAGTGCTGTGATTATTACAGGTGTGAGCCACTGCCCCTGACCAAACCTGGTATATTTTTAAGACTAAGTATAGCAAATGAGAATTCTTTTTTTTTTCCCTTTTTTTTTAAACCTTGGCATCTCGGCTGGGCGCGGTGACGCACACCTGTAATCCAAGCACTTTGGAGGCCAAGGCGGGCGGACCACCTGAAGTCGAGAGTTCAAGACCAGCCTGACCAACATGGTGAAACCCCATCTTTAAAAAAAAACAACAACAAAAAACCTTGGCATCTCCTTATTATTTTTTTTTAACGCACATCCTCACTGAAGAAGCAAATGAAATTCTAAAGAAAGTTCTGCTTTGTAGTCCTGAGGATATACATCCATATTCCTTTCCACCAAAGGAGAGGCAGGGGATCATCAAACATAGACTGATACCTGTTATGTAAATGAGCCTACCTCTCAAGGGCGATAGAAAAACCAAACGTCTTTGTAGTGTTGCTTATCTGAAAAATTTATGTTGCTTTTTTTTTGGGTAGGGGGACAGAGTCTTGCTCTGTCTCCCAGGCTGAGGTGAAATGGTGCGATCATGGCTCACTGCAGCCTCGACCCCCTGGGTTCAAGCAGTCCTCCCTTATGTAGCTCCTTTGGGCAACAGAAAAACAATTACAGTAAATCAAGTCACTTAGCCTTTCTTAGCATTTCCTCCTTAATAAAATGGGGATAACAACACAACCTAACTTGTAGAGTTATTGTGAAATGAATTGAGCTTATTTATTTATTCACTGGGACAGGGTTTGGCTCTGTTGCCTAGGCTGAGTGTGAGTGCAGTGGCGTGATCTCACTGTAAGCTCTACCTACCGAGCTCAAGTACTCCTCCCACCTCAGCCTCCTGAATAGCTGGAACTGCAGGTGTGTGTCACCATGCCCTACTATTTTTTGTGTGTTTTTTATAGAAACAGTGTTTCACCATGTTGCCCAGACTGGTCTCAAACTCCTGGGCTCAAGCCATCCACCCACTTTGGCCTCCCTAAGTACTAAGATTACAGGCATGAGCCGCTGTGCCCAGCCTAATAGATTTAAAGCACTTAAACAAGCCTGTCCAACCCGCAGTCCAGGACAGCTTTGAATGTGGCCCAACACAAATTTATAAAGTTTCTTAAAACATTGTTTTTAGCTCACCGGTTATCATTAGTGTTAGTGTATTTTATGTGTGGCCCAAGACAATTCTTATTCTTCCAATGTGACCCAGGGACATCAAAGATTGGACATCCCTGACTTAGAAACATGGCTAGTACACAGTAAACACTCAATAAGAGTTCACTGTTATTACTATTATTGTCCAGAATGATATATATTTTTTTTAAGATGGAATCTCACTCTGTTGCCCAAGCTGGAGTGCAATGGCGCTGTCTCGGCTCACTGCAACTTCTGCCTCTCGGTTTCAAGTGATTCTCCTGCCTCAGCTTCCTGAGTAGCGGGGATTATATGCACCTGCAACCATACCCAGCTAATTTTTGTTTTTATTTTTAGTAGAGAGGGGGTTTCACCATGCTGTCCAGGCTGGTCTCAAACTCCTGACCTTAGGCGATCCACCCGCTTTGGCCTCCCAAAGTGCTGGAATTACAAATGTGAGCCATCATGGCCGACCCAGAATGATATTCTTTTAAAGTTTAAGTATTCATTGTAAAAATCTGGTTTATGAAAAAATGTCAATTAGGGCTATTTGCAAGTTCTATGCAAGTGGAAAAAAGCAACATTTGTTTGATATTCCCTCCACCCCACAATTTTTCAAACAATTTTTCAGAAATGTGCTATGTTAACACGAGGCCATCAGTGGAGACAGAGGCATCAGTCTGCCTCATTTATCAGCAGTTTTCCCTCAAGCTCCTTGAACCACTGCCATGAGCCAGCAGGCGATGAAAGCTAAATAACAACTCCATGCATCACCTCATAGCTCTGTCCTGATACAGAAGCGAACATTTGCACTGCCTTGTGCAAATAAAATTTTTAAAATTTCTATCCCTTGACTATTTTATGTTTGCTTTTAAGATGTGTAAAGGAGGCCAGGTGTGGTGGCTCACTCTTGTAATCCCAGCACTTTAGGAGGCCAAGGCGGGTGGATCATGACACCAGGAGATTGAGACCATCCTGGCCAACATGGTGAAACCCCATCTCTACTAAAAAAAAAAAAAAAAAAAAAAAAAAAAAAAATTAGCGGGTCATGGTGGCGTGTGCCTGTACTCCCAGCTACTCAGGAGGCTGAGGCAAGGGAATCGCTTGAACCTAGGAGACAGAGGCTGCAGTGAGCCGAGATCACACCACTAGACTCCAGCCTGAGTGACAGAATGAGACTATGTCTCAAAAAAAGAAAAAAAAGTGTAAAGGAGCCTCAGAAACATGATTTTTAGCTCTCTAGAAACATGATTTTTAGTTTAGTAGAATGAGGTCTGATGCCTCCCCAGAGGCTCAGAAAAGGGCCTAAAAGGGGCTAAGGACCCAGGACATTATTTATTTGTTTATTTATTTATTATTATTATTATTATTTTTTTTTTTTTTTTGAGTCTCACTCTTGTTACCCAGGCTGGAGTGCAATGGCGCGATCTCGGCTCACCGCAACCTCCACCTCCTGGGTTCAGGCAATTCTCCTGCCTCAGCCTCCTGAGTAGCTGGGATTACAGGCACGCACCACCATGCCCAGCTAATTTTTTTGTATTTTTAGTAGAGACGGGGTCTCACCATGTTGACCAGGATGGTCTTGATCTCTTGACCTCGTGATCCACCCGCCTCGGCCTCCCAAAGTGCTGGGATTACAGGCTTGAGCCACCGCACCCGGCCCTATTTATTATTTTTGAGATGGAGTTTCACTCTGTTGCCCAGGTTGGAGTGCAGTGGTGTGATCTTGGCTCACTGTAACCTCTGCCTCCTGGGTTCAAGCAATTCCCCTGCCTCAGCCTCCCAGGTAGCTGGGATTATAGGCATGTGCCACCATGCCTGGCTAATTTTTGTACTTTAAGAAGAGATGGGATTTCACCATATTGGCCAGGATGGTCTTGAACTCCTGACCTCAGGTGATCCACCTGCCTTGGCCTCCCAAAGTGCTAGGATTACAGGTGTGAGCCACCGCATCCTACCAGGATCCAGGACTTTACCACAGATGCTTCAGAGCAGCCATCAGGCAGCAAAGCCAACCCTCCCTGGAGGTGACAGAGGAGCGAGGCTCTCACCAGAGCATCCTCTGACTCAATATGCCCTGCAAGGGCATTTGGCAAAATGAAGGATGCACCAGTTGGGATTAAGCTGGCAGAGGTGTACTCTGGCTCTATTCTCAATAATAATGAGTCACTTCCATACAGCCCTTTACAGTTTATAATGTTTTTTTCTGGACGCTTGACGACTGCCTCTAAGGACAGCCCAGGTTTGGGACTGTGACAGATCCGTCATCCTCAACATCTCTTCTACAGATGACAGAAAGTAATGACTCTGTCAACCCATTCTCCCCAACCCCCTTCTTACTTTACCTTTATGGCTATTTAGCTATTTCACTATGTTAAAGGGAAAAGCTTCCAGACCACTTTAAAGTTGATGAGTATTAACTGGATTCTTCACATAAGCAGATATTTATAACACCCAAATTTTAGTTCTTTCTTCTCTGTCCTGGCCTGGCCCACCCAGAAACTTCTAACAGGCTGCAAGTCTATGCGCTACTTAAAGACAAGGGCCATACATTACTGGTCT